AACATTGCCAGGTTATGGTTTAAAATAAAAGAGCATATCTTTGTCTTTGATACTATTATCTATTGCATAGTGTCTTTGGTTTTGTTTAAAACGAAAAAATAGTTTTTTCATAGGTACACACGTTTACATAATTCTGATCAAATTAGATCACTGCTTGGCGGACGTAAGGTAGGTATTGTACGATCAAAAGTGCGCATGGCTTGGCTTACAGGCGACCCTGCTATTTTAGATGGTTGAGTCTGTCTACGGTCGACGCACCTTTTAATCTCCTGTTTAACGTTTGGAGAGCGCTGCATCACCTTTATTTGATCTCGCACGAACGATGCTAATGAATGAAAGGAAGGCATCTCCGAGCTACGATGCTCCATTTCAAACGCATGCACGGTGTCGGGGTCTAATTTCTTTAGTGCAATATGGAGAAACACCACGTCTATAAGGTCATTAAATTTTAAATTCTTAAGTGCAGCCACCGATGCCACAAATTTATCTAGAAACTGCTCTAAGCCGTTGATGTTCGCGGATGATATAGGTTTAAGATCGAATATCTGGTTCAAATATTCGGAAGCTAACATTCTCCTATCTTCATATTTAGTTTTAAAAGTTTCGAATATTAATAAGTAATTGTTTGCTGTAGGTGTAAAACCCGAGCAGATCGACTGTGCCCTGCCACTAAGTTTACTAATTAAGTAATATAATTTTTCAGCGTCCGATAACGATGGGTTATTGTGTATATTGTTTTGAAAACTACTGAAGAAGAAGGGCCACGTCTTAATATCACCATTGAATACCGGAATATCTATTGGCGGCAACCTAATTGAGTCACGAGGACGTACCTGTAATTCCGGCTTTGCTTCTCTTTGAGATTGTAGGAGTTTTGCCGTTCTTTTCACGCGACACAACATATCTTCGAATGCCAGCAGCGGTTGGTAGTTCAATATGTATTTCGGGTCGATTTGTAATTCCAAATGATTAATTCGGTCTAATATTCTTTCGTAATCCGTCCGCAAAGAATCCACCGTTTCAATTTCATTCAGAAAAGTTTCCCGCACCGCTTCTACATTAATGTTCTTTACGTGATCGCTAATGCTTTGTATACGTGAAAAAAGTACGTCCCTCTCGGCATAGAGCGTTTTAATTTTAAATTCATTTCCACTAACTGCCATTTTAAATTATTATAGTGAAGTTATATTAATCACAATTAATCTCACACGCATAAACGATGGACGATGGACACTCGGTATGCCGTATTACGTAATTAAATCGAACACGTGTTACAGTCGAGACGACGCGTTGCTCGCTAAAACTCAATATTTTTATCAAGATTGTCGGGTAAGCGTACCAAACGGTTGCTATCACACTGTTTCAATTTTAAAGCTTTAAATTTAACCAAATACGAGCGCTATGAAATAAACAATTCTGTTTGCGAGTGCCTAATCAAAATTTAAATTTAAACGAACACTATTTATACTATTTACGAACACTAATTATTCGACCAGAAAATGGTTGGATGACCACTAAACACCAGTGCAAATCCTGCCGAAGTGACCATAAAATGGTGGAGCCACGTGTCTAAGGTTGCCGAAGTCTAATTCCCCGGTCGAACCTTAAACCTATTACGCGAGATATTAATCTAAGTGGACTGTATCTACAATATGCTTCTACACTTATATATGCGGTACAATGCACTCGCTCTTCCCAAAAAAAACGAACTATTATTTGCCAAATCGATGAAGGGAATCCTGCTTGATTAGGAAAACACAAAATTGGAGCGGGTTAAAACAATTATATCAAGCAGGCTATAATATTGGATATTAACTCACCGGGATGTTTCTTCTATGCGGTCGAGCACTATAACTGCGACTTCTGGAATCTCTTCTGGACAGACACTCTGGGGCCCCAGAGATACGTCGGGAGAGAATCGATGTTGTTTCAACGGCGAGCGCGGCGGGAAGAGCAGTTCTTTAGGACACTATTATCCTAGGCGGTGTGGTTTCAACGGCGAGCGCGGCGGGAAGAGGGCGCGCGTCGGTCGCGCGTGCCCTTATATATCCTCGGTTCCGATGATTACGTGATGTTCTAGAATCATCTTCTTTCCCCTCCCACCCCACCACCCCGATGTGTCGATAGGAGGGTATGAATGATATCGTTTTTTGGAAAGGGATAACCGATTTGGCAGCCTACCGTCAAATAAAATAAATACGAATGGTTTTCCGCGCAACCAATTACTAAATCAGCTCTTTTGTTTCGGTAGCCAGAATTGATATACAAATTTCTAGCCAGAGATTTCTTATTTATTTATTATATATTACTATGGTAGTAAGACTAACTCTACTCGGCTGGAGTAGGACAACGCTCTCACAGAATACCGGCGTAAAATACCTGCACCTTCATGCTGCTTTGTTTCGTATGGTATGAGTAAAGAATCGAAGACCATTTTACTGGAAACGAGGCATTCCATCTTATTCCTCAGGCATTTTGGCATCATTCAGGCATTTGTTGCATTTTGATTCTCAATTTTGGATTAATTAAGTTATACAGATACATATTTTAGATTAAAGTACATAATAATGTTATAATTATATATATAATGTGCGTGATATTAAAGTTGAGTATGTAAGAAACTTTCAGTGGATTCGTATGTTAAAGATTTGAGCCAGTTTATTGTATTTTTTCTACACTCGTGTTCAGGGAGAGGATATATAGATAGCAGCCTATTTATTTTGTTGTATAAGTAATTACTAATATAGGTATAGTGTCTCTTGGCTAAGCTGGATTTAACCGTCGTTGAAGAACATACTTTGTCCTTCCTTCTTTTTGTGGTGCTGAGATTCGGATCGTAATCCACTTGGGAATGCTTTCTGGTTATTATTTTTAGAATAAATATTTGCCTAACGGTGAGGACATCCCATAACCCGTACAGCTTTGAGGATTGCTCGTTGAGCTTTCTCAGCTTCTGTAAGGTGAGTTTTGGTTGACCACCCCATACTGTGATGCAATAGCTGATAATTGATTGACTAAGAGCGTAATAAATAGATTTTATAATAGAACGATCAGCTATGTGTTGGAGGGATTTAAAAATATAAATAAGTTTTCTCAGTCTAGATACCAGGGAATCGATGTGCAATTTGAAAGTGAGAGTAGAATCAACAATGACTCCTAGGTATTTAATAGATTTAACTCTTTCCAGCGTGGGACACAAGCAAGAGGTGTAATTTAGAGAGTCGCAGTAGTGAGCAAAGATAGAGCCAGAAGTAGGTAGACTCTCTAGTAGGGGACAGGACACCCCTCTCGCCGCAGCCGCCCAGCACAAATCCGAAGTGGGCTCGCCAAGCCCACTCAGAGTTTCCACTTCGGGCTTACATGGCTTGGCCAAGGTAAAGGGCCAGCCTTTATCTTGCCCACGCCATGTGGGTTCCTCTTTGTTCACCGCGGGTGACCAAGCCGCGACTACTAAGCCCCCCCGCCACGACTCCATTTCCATATCTCAATTTTATACTATCATATTAATATAAAATCATATAGCCGGTTATAACAAACGATGTTGCTTAATAGTAGAAATGAGTACTTCCAAATATAGCCCAACACTGCGGTACTGTAGCATGTACATAACTATATACACAAATGATGCCGCGATTTGTGTGGTGAGTGTTGAAACCATAAATCTCTTTTTCCTCCTAACGAGAGATTGCAAAAATTATTGTATAGGCTAAGTATCACATACACATGTACATACACATGTAGTACATGCATCATCATTTTGATTTTTATCAATGAAAAATGTAGATGTTTATAAATCACAACATCCACTTGCCATCAGGTATATTCGTTTGTCAACTCACTTGGCTTCTTTATTTAAAAAATTGCAAGATATAATTCACAATCTTCAATTATATCGTAATATTTAAAAACTAATTTCAGTTTAATTGCAAAACGTGTTTTTACCCGTTGAAATTCACTGCTTCTATTACATCACTTTTGCAAAGTATCTCACTTTTAGATTAGATAGTCAATAAAATTAATATCGCAAATTAATAAATAAACATAAAAATCTTTTATAAAACTTCATAAATCAAATTGTCTCGGGTTCCGGAACCTTCGGATCAATACTTAAAATATTCCTGTCGAAAGGGTATGTTTTGTATGCATAATTATTATCCTTAAATTTCAATACAACAAAAAGCCATAAATATAAAAAAGTTTTTTTTTTGCTATTACATCGGCCTGTAAAATGTCCGCTGATGGACATTAAATTTTACTATAGTAGCTAATCTGAATAGCAAATTGGCAGCAATCACCCACGCTTGTCAATCAGATTGGTGATGGTAGCCCCTTATGTAACTTTGATTCTGCTTACCTTTAATCGGTCTAGTTTTATATTATTTAACATCTGGGATACCACACAGGCTGCAAGAGATTCCGGGCTTTTTTTAGTTGCATTTTAAACGTTCGATTAAAAACAATAAATACCTAGACAGGAGACGAAAGAGGCAATTACTGAGAGCCTGCATATTAGTGAGATCTACATGTCATGTTTTTTTTTTGTATTTTTAACAATTAGCAACCTACATAATAATATTGTATGTATCCGCCTAATAAGAGAGAAGTTTAGGTCGTGGTCCCACTATATAACATGTATTAGTTCACATCACTTTTTAAGTACTACGCTCTCTACCCCTCTGACTCTTGAATAGGCCCAGAAAACAAAAATGCAAAGTTATTCAAAACAAGCATCAGTCCAAAAAACACGTTCAATAAACTGTGGTATCATAAAAATTTACTTTTTGTAAGGGAGCAGGACATGAAGGTAAAAAGTTCTTGTCAGTAATTGAACTTTTGTTTAATAACACTCGTCGACAAAAGTTGTTATCCTTTCATGGCAAGTAAAATTTCCGGTAACGCCTATTAAGTTGGACCTCTCTACATTAACGAGTACCTATATATAGCCTACGTTTGACTGAGTGCATCAGTGTTTCTTCGAAACAACACAGACCACTTACAAAATGATGAAGCTGGTGGTGTTGTCCTGCCTGTTGGCTGCCGCCTCGGCGAGTCTCATTGCGCCTCTCGCTTATTCAGCACCATACGGATACTACGGGCTTGGAGCTCCCCTCGCATACGGCGCATCTGTTCTGGCACCTTACAACTACCGAGGTCCTCTGTCTCTAGCTCCTGGCCAACCCGCTAACATACTTGGTGCTGATGGAAGACCTCTTGACACACTGGACGTCAACTTGGACCGTTCTGCGCACCTAACCGCAAAAGCACTTAACCGTGATGTCCATTTTCTGAAGAAACGCTCAGTGGTGGCTCCCATCGTCGCTACTCCAGTCGCCCGTATTGCCACTCCACTGATCACCCCCGCTGTACCTCTTACCAACAGAGCACCTTATGCCACAACTGCTTACATTTCCCCAATCCCACAATTGCACTCTGTCTCCTCTTACATCTACTAATTTTGAAATGTTAAAACTGAATTGATTGAAACTGAATAAATCATTAAAACACCAAATAGTATTAATTTGCATGAAATGCGTTCCATCCATTACAGCCTCTCAAAGTCTACTGTTGGACACATGCCTTTCCATAGATTGCCTCATAAGGTAGATATTTGCCACGTCTGGCAAGCAGATAGGTGACTGCATTTTTTTTCTAGTCGTTCTTAGGAAGACGTCGCTGCCCATCTCCTGCTGCGTTCATTACTTTCATTGATTTCTCGTTAACGAAAATATTTACTGTGCCTGTAACTTTTCTAAAATAAGGCATCTATCTCGATATATAAAAATCAATTACTGTCCGTACATGTCGTTAGAACTTAAAACCAGTTCGACCGATTTTGATGATTTTCTTTTTGTATTTGTATAGATGGTTTAGGTTAACATTTTGACCCCTTAGGTGACGCTGTTGTCGAGATCCAGAAATAACTTTTGAGAAGCTGGAGCGGATCGCTAGTCATACGTAATTTTAAGGTTTCTAGAGAGTTTACATTCGTACATACGTAAACACTCGCGCTTATCACCCAGAGGGGTTGGCATAGACTACAGACTTTAATTTGGCACAATCCAGACACGCCTCTCTCGCCTCCTCCACATTCATATACTTACGCATAATTGCTGGACGGTCAAAGGTACTCCTAATTTGGCTGATTTTGAATATATAGCCAATTTGGTCGATAAACATTTCGTCTAGGACGTCCCTTTCCGACTCTTCCATTCTCTTCTGAAAGATAACTTTGCTTTGTCACTCTTTCCTCATAATTTTTTTCTACATGACCAAACTACCGAAGCATTCATTTCTTAATCCTGGTCATAGCTTCATCTTGCAAACTATACTGTTCTTTTATCACACAATTTCTCACTCACATTTATCTACTCTCTTGCTTCTTATGCCACACCCAATTCTCACTACCGTCTCGTACCTAATACATATAAGTAGGGACTAACACATCATTGTGAATTGCTATTCGTGCCTTTTTTGACATTCTGACTTTTCGCGGTAGAGTGTATAGCCCCATTTACTTTATTTCCTGCGTTCACTCGTCGTTCTATATCCTTATCATATCTCCCATCCCTGCAGAATACACATCCCAAATATACAAACTCATCTACTTGCTCGACCAACTCCCCTTCTATTCTTATTTCACAAATCGTTTTACTTTATTTTCTTCAAAAAACCATATTTTTCATCTAACTTGCGTTCACTTTCAGACCGTTTCTTTTAAAGACCTGTTAATTAATGTAACCATCATTCCCACATTGCTAAGAAGGCTGATACCACGGTGATTTTTACAGTCCTGTTGCAACACTTTTGTCTTAGATATTGGGAATATATTGGCTTTGTACCTGTCTCCCGGTATCCGTTTCAGTTCTCAACATTAATTAAACAAAGTGTAACACGGCCCTGCAACCACTTCTTCTTCGGCACTTAGCATTTCAAGAGAAACTCTATCATATGCGCCTGCCTTACCTGCTTTCATGCTTATGCTTTTCATTGCTTTCATTATTTCATATATATATATATATATATGTATATATATATATATATATATATATATATAACCTCCTTACTTATTCTCTCTTCTTTCGGAATTTCTATTTCATTTAGTTCATATGTCGTCTCATCACTCACAAACACACTTTCGGAATAATTCTTCCGTCTCTTTAAACTCGAAACTTCGTTACTCATAATACATCCGTTTTCGTCTCCTATAGCATTCGTTCTAGGCTGTTTCGAATGTCCCCTGGCAGTTGTTACGAGTTTCCAGAACTTTGAAGTTATCGTATAGATCGTATAGATTACAGAAGCCTGGAAGTTATCCGATGTACTTCTATCATTTTTATTCGTTTTTTCTTCCTTTTTCCTTCCAACTACTTCTTTTAATATTAGATGTCTAAAGACTGCCTTTTTTCTTAAAAACTATGCGTTGAGATATTTAACGCCGCTACCACACGGCGGGGAGCCGAGTCTGTACTTTCGGCTTGTCGCTCGTTCTTCAGAGTTTTTGAAGTGAAAACTTATTTAGCACCCTTGTGATTTGAAAATCAATGAAGCGAGAAAATGACACTAAAAAGAGAAATATATAAATGTATAGGAGAGAATGAGATAAAAACCTATATTAATAACCTTCACTTTAAACTTTCTCCTTAGCTTAGCCGGGGTTTTCTTAATCAGAAATGACAGAATTGGCAAGGATGGAGGTTGCGTCGCCATATACTTTCTTTTTCGGTCATTGCTTCGTTACCTTCACAATAGTTTGTCTCTGTTGAATATTTATGCCTGGAAGTTCTCGATTTTTCTCTTAGAACATTTTTCTAGCTTAGAAACCGTCTTGGAATCTCTCAGTGCGGACCACCTGAATTACATTATCATGGACGACTTTAATACTGACCTTCTCAAAACTTCTACTCAAAGAGCTAACCTTATTAATATCTTGTCTTTTGTTAATTTATCCATTCTTCCCTGCGCTCCTACTCACCATAATTCTGATTCTCCGGACACGTGGCCTGATTTAATCACAACCTTCTTTCCCCAACTCGTTAAAAACTATAGTATTTGTCTGCTTCCGGATTATCGCGCCACGATTTACTTTACCTAATATATAAACTAAAACCATCTAAGTCTAAACCAGACACCACTATTGGTCATATATATAGGAAAAAGACCCATACCAATCGATATTTAAATGGTGAATCTCACCATCATCCTTCACAGTTACATGGGTAACTGTGAAGGATGATGGTGCTACTACCATGGGTAAATCTTTGTTTCAGAGAGTACGAGGGATCTGTGACTGTCACCATTTTTTTATAGGATAGGATGACAAACGAGCACACAGTCCACCTGATGGTAAGTGGATGCTGTGGTCCATAGGCATTTATCTTCAATTAAGAATCAAAATGCCAACCCTGAGGACTGAGATGGAATGCCTTGTTTCCAGTAAAAAGAGTCTCCAAAAGGTCACCGATTTTCTGCCTTGCAGAATGCTTCCAGAGATAGTTTTTTGCCTTTTAGTGTCTAGAGATCTTCTCCAGATACGAACACGTCGGTTATCTGGATGAGTACTGATTCGCGATTCGCCACCGAAGAGACAGTTTTGCTAAATGTTTTCCTCCTCATATTTATTTTACCGGAGCTTAGCCTACTGCAATCTCCATCGTTGACGTTACCGTTCAGAGGTGCTCGCTAGGACCTCCGTGCTCGTAGTCCAGCCTGGTATAAGCAATTCAGGCAGAGGCAGCCTGCAGATCTGCTTTTATTGTAATGTCGTTGATTGTCACGGGCTGCTAGCAATCAGATATACTTCTGCAGTCAGAACAGTTGGGGGACCACTGCTGCGTCGGTCACCTAAATTATCCATAGCGCGGTATCTCTACAACGTGGCCCCGACATATGATTGGGATACAGCAACTCTGAGTGCCATTTCTCTGGTGGAATATCACTCTTCGTTCAAAATTACAACTCTTGCTCGTAGAACATCTGATTGTAATCCTTTTGGCATCTCACAACTTTCCTAGAAAAATATTTTAAATGCGTTAAAATTGACCAAGTCAGATTTCTGAAGAAGTGTAAGCTTGCATTGAATTTCTTTTTATATGACAAAATAATCGAATTAATTTTATTGTTTTGTATTCTTATTCCATATTTTTAAGTAAAGAATCTAAAAAGAAGAAGAAATTTTAATATAGTCTAACAAAAAGACTTAATTTTATCAAACTGATTGCAAACTTTTTTTGATGTGCGTCTATTTCATTTCTTTGTAACCGCCCTCGTAGTTCTATCATTGCCTTAAGGTTTACTAACAGAGAATGCTTTTAGCATTAAGTCCGCCTTTTGATCCGGTTCTTGTTTGAGGTTCTATAAAGTTTAAATAAATAAATCATAAAGCGGATGAAGGTTTTTGTTCGTTTAAACACGCTAATCTCTGAAACTACCAGTTCGATTTCATAAATTCTTTTTGTATATGATAAACAAACTCACAAGGAATGATATAAGCTATCTAACATTAGGCTACTCCTCTAACCTCTGCCCTAAATATTGATTTTTGTTAAGCAAGTCGGAGGAAAAACCGCTTCTGAACTGCTTTATCCGCGTGCACCGGCGTGATGGTTAGTGACATGTAAATAATATATTATACAAAAGTATAGATCTTTCCTTCATCTAAATAAAAGTCCGTAATATCTTAATACTACTAGTTATTATTAGGCACGCCATATTAATCCTTACGAACAAAAGTTATTTTCATCAATACAATTTTATAAAGATAAACTTTGCTTGACGCATAGTTTAACAGGTAATGAAAAATTAAAATAATTCTTCAATCAGGTGAGAACCGAGAGAAACCAGCAGTGAACGCATGTGTCATGTCTCGCGCTTCAGACGCGTGATATACGCGGGTGATACCGCAGGAAATAACAAGTCAGTATAAAGTATTTCCTATTATCCCGGTCTCCTCTGTGTGCGGTGCTTTAAAGATGGTTACTATAACTTTTAACTGATAATTATCTTTTTTACTGTTCTAAGCTAGTGCTTAACTACAATCCCACCTGATGGTAAGTGATGACGTATGAGATGAGATGATGGTGAAGTGCACTGACTTAACAAAAGCCTATCCACTCTTTTTTTTATAGAAGAGGGGGCAAACGAGCATGCGGCTCACCTGATGTTAAGTGACTACCGCCGCCGATGATCAACCGCAACACCAGGGGAATTGCAGGTGCGTTGCCGGCCCTATAGAAAGGAGTAAGCTCTTTTCTTGAAGGTCTTGCCTTGGAGACACCCACATTTTAATTGGATGGAAAGACAAATGCTGGCAACTTATTCTACTCCTTTGCTCTATGCATGACAAACAATGTAGCCGTTGTACGTTGTACCAGGCCTCTGTCACTCTTGCTACCTGCGTGTAATATTTACCTACATACAATCGCGAAGCCGAGCGCGTTCTAGGCGATTGAATGTT